ATTACGGGGATGTTGAAAACATTCTCGCTAACGCTTACAAGCTCGCCGGGTCAAAGAAAAGCATCAACAGAGATTTCCCTAAAGAAATCGTGGATGCCAGGCGTATACTTTGGCCAAGGGTTAAAATGCTTCGGGAACAATATCCAGATAACAAAGTGAGCCTCGTATATCCCGCTAAAATAATTATCGACGGAAAAGTTGTGTACGACTGCTTCCCCGACTGGAATACCATCATGGCCCGGTCGCGAATTTCACCACCAATAGCCTACAAATTCAATAAGAACTTTCCAATTTCACAAAAAAAAGACGACAGTCTAGGGCACCCAGGATCGGTCGGCACCAAATCTCCCGACGGTAAGGCTACAACATCACGTGATCAACCAGGTAATCAGTCACAGCCGACTCATATTCAGAGTAGCCAACAACCATTCCGTGATTATTCTCCAACACACAAAACTATTGACAGACAATCCCGCAGCAAATCAAGATCGCCGCCACTATTACGTGAACGTCGTTTTGTACGTGCTACCAACCAGACTCCGAGACGCTACCAAACCTCGGACGCACCACGAACAAAAAAAGGACCACGTGATGTGGGAGCACGTGACTTTATTCGCCCTTGGAACAATCATTCACCAAATGGCCCAAATCACACTCTCGATTCTCAGCAATGGCCAAGTGTTAATACCAATACAATTGATAACTGCAAAAGCCCGGATGGAAGAGACTAGGTTCACGGGGGATCAGTGACAGCTATGGTGACTTGAAATGTCTCAGTTTAAATGTTAGTGGACTTAAGCGAAGATTAAAATATCCAGAATTTCTGGAGATGATTATGTATTATGATATCATTATAATTCTTGAAACGAAATTAGACAATACAGACATAGTTGATATCAATGGCTATACTTTTTTGTCGAAACACAGGTCGGAAAATCTATATATAAGAAAATCAGGAGGAATAGGTATATATGTACGTAAACAAATTTTTTCAAAACATATCAAAATGTTAGATTAGTAATTCCGAGTATATTCTTTGGCTCCAACTAAATAAACAGTTGTTTAGCTACGATGAACACGTAGTATTAGGTGCTATTTATTTACCACCGGAAAATTCACGTTTTCTTAATGAAAATGGTGTCGACGAATTTGATAATGAAATAACTTCTATGTGTAGTAAATATAAATATGTATGCCTTGCAGGCGATGTCAATGCCAGAACGTCCCAGCTCCCTGACTTCATACCGTCGGACCCCTTTTTAAACGATATATTTGATATTGATCAGGAATCTCAAGCCTATTTCGATAAATTCACATTGCTAGAAAAATTTAATATCCCACTAGCTAGGTCCTCTCAAGATAAGAAAACTAACGCACATGGTATCCGGCTCATTGAAACGTGTCGAAACAATAATCTATTTATAATGAACGGCCGATTTGACGTGGACGTTAACGTTGGTAAATTAACATTCAGAGATAAGTCTTTAATCGATTATGTTATCGTAACAGCTGAAATGTTTCAATACGTTAACTCTTTCGAAATACTAGAAACTGATAGCCTATTTTCGGACGGACACAGTGCTTTAAAGTTTTCGTTTAAATTGTTTAACACACATAGAAACGCACAGTGTGATAATAAAACAATTCATAACAAACCAAGTTGGCAGCCTCAATACTCTGAAAAATTTAAAGCAAACATATGTTTAGATGACATAGAATCTATTAAGTATCAATTGAACACATACCCGCAATCTTTAAATACTGTAGAAAACGTAACTCGACAGCTACAGGAAATTTTCTCTAAATCGGCAGAACTCTCATTTCAAAAACGAGACTTTAATAAAACTCATATAAATAACGATAAAAAACAAACCATGGTTCGGACCAAAATGTCATAAAGCCAGAAAAGACTACCATGACGCTAAAACAAATTACCACAATAATAAAAATAATGACAATAAAACAAGGTTACAAAATGCTAGTAAACAGTATAAAAGATCTATGAATTATTATATAAACGAAAATTAAATAAAAAACGCCAAAAAACTAAGAAAAATGAGCACTGACAACCCAAAGCAATATTGGAAATATTTGAACGGCCTTAAACACGACTCGAAAGCAAAAGAGTCACCAACCATATCGGAATTTTACGATTATTTCACGAATAAAAATAACTAGGGACACTTCGACCCGAGCGAATATGTAAACAATCCTAACGTGAACTACCTTTTAAATAAGATTTTAAAATTTATTAGAAATTTGAATAATGGAAAGGCAGCAAGCCCCTCCGATAATATTATAAACGAGTATATAAAATATACTCAAGACCTTTTATTGCCTATTTACACTAAACTTTTCAATGTAATTTTAGATACTGGTTTTATCCCTAACTCCTGGTTAGAAGGGTATATTATACCCATTTATAAAAATAAGGGCGATTCGAAGAAACCGGAATGCTATCGCCCAATAACTATTTTAAGTACACTTGGAAAATTATTTACTTCTATATTAAACAATAGAATAACGTTATATTTAGAATCAAATAACCTTCTTCATGAAAACCAGGCTGGTTTTAGAAAATACTACAGCTGCTCAGACCATATTTTCACATTACATGCTCTCATTGAAATTCTAAAGAAAAAGAAACAGAAATTGTTCTGTGCATATGTTGATTTTTCTGCTGCATTTGATAAAGTATGGAGAATAGGTTTATGGCAAAAACTAATCAAAACGAATATAAATGGGAAAATATTTAATGTCATTTTTAATATGTACCAAAATATAAAATCAAGAATAACGCATTTAGGAGAATTTTCTGATAGTTTTTGTTCAAATACAGGCGTCAGACAGGGTGAAAATTTAAGTCCGGTTTTATTTTCCATCTTTTTAAATGATTTACAAGAATATTTAGAATCACAAGGATCAGTAGGGATAGAGTTAACAGATACACTCGACGCTGAATATTGGCTAAAACTGCTAGTTTTACTCTATGCCGATGATACAGTGATTATATCCAATTCAAAAATTGATTTCCAGAATACACTACTACACTTTAACCAATTCTGCGAACAATGGCATTTAAATATTAACACAAACAAAACAAAGGTAGTGATATTCGGCGCAAGAAATGTAAGAAATTTCCAATTTCATATAGGCGAATCAAATTTAGAAATAACGGAAAAATATTTATACCTCGGAATAACTTTCTCTAGTAATGGTTCTTTTTTACAAGCTCGTAAACACATCGTCCAACAAGCAAAAAAGGGCCTATACCTTCTTTTAACAAAGGTTAATAATTCAAGTTTACCATTTGATTTAATTCTTAAGCTTTTTGACCATACTGTTCTCCCAATTCTTATGTATGGATCAGAAATTTTTGGCTATGAATCTTTAGAAATTATTGAAAAAGTTCAGTGCGAGTTCCTTAGAAAAATTACTAGTGCTCGAAAATCAACACCTAAATATATGTTATTCGGCGAGACTGGAGTAATACCGATATCAATTATGATTAAAAATAGGATGATTTCGTTTTGGAATAGGTTAGTTACTGGGAAAGTCTCAAAATTATCTTACAAAATTTATCAATATATGCTTAAACAACCAGAAAAAGATTTTAAATGGCTGAGACATATTAAAACTATACTTGAATCTAGTGGTAGAGCAGATGTGTGGTTACTTCAACCTGCCCTAAATACCCCAAACTTAGGAAATTCTATAAAACAAATCCTTATCGATCAGTATTATCAGGAATGGAACGCACAACTCCAGTCATCTAATAAGGGTAGAACTTATGCTGTCTATAAAGAAACCCATAGTATTGAAAAATATCTAATACGTTTACCAAAGTATGAACGGGAAATAATGTTTAAATTTCGCACAAATAACACGCACTTTCCAGAAGAAACGGGACGCTGGGACGGGACGTCTCCAGAAAATAGGCGATGCGTACTTTGTTCAGAAAACGCTATTGGCAATAGCAAACACTATTTATTACGTTGCGAAAAATTCAAAGAACAAAGACAAAACATTTTACAAACTTTCTGCCTTGAAAATAATGATCTTAACTTTAAACGAATTGTCAACATACAGTCGGAAAATGATCTTAAGATACTCTGTAAATTCTTATCAATATTGCTCAAGCATGTGCGTTAGGTGAGTTCCGCAGACATTAAAAGAATAGCCATTGAAAACATAAATTTATATGTTATTATTGTATTAATGTTGAAAAATGATTGTGTTAAATGTGTCATTTGATATGCATGTCTTGAAATACGCTAGATAAGTCCCGCCGTGAGTACGTCGATCTTGCATAATCAATCTTGTTAAAGCATTTCAAAATTTGAAAATAAAAGAATTTCGAAGAGGTCCCGTACCCCGACGGCACTTATGCATTATAAAATTACTCATTACTGAATTACACATTACATTATATTAACTATTACTGGGTAAACAGTACCTTATTGCGTAAATCCTAATAAATCCGGTGAATATTTATTCCAATTGCTAGTGAAACATGCGAATTTATTTATTTATTTTTTTAATTTTTTTTTATATTTATTGAATTGACCAGGTTACACATGTGTTGTCTGAACCGAATTACTGCGCGACAAGAACAATTTGCACGAGGCATTCATTCACACACAAAAACAACCCCGTCGTAGTAAATAAAATTACTAGAGCGTGCAATAAGGCATTGTGTACTTCCCAGTATTTATGTTATATAAGATGCTAATATATCCTCACTTGAACCCCCATTTCTTTCTTTAAAACATTAAAAATGTATATTATTTATTATATTTCTGTTTAAAAATAATTAAATGACTATTAATACTGTATTATCTTTTCAGGACTTTACAACCGGAACATATATATATATATTGTAAAATATTACTTTGTAAACCCCTTATGTATTTTATTAATACCTGGGTGAATAAAGATATTTGAATTGAATTGAATAGAGAAAAGTTATTTGAATTGTAAAAAATTGAATTGAATTGTATCATTGACCCTGTAATGTAAATGAACTTATTTTATTTAGGTCATTTGAGTTGTAAAAGATAAATATACAGTACACAAAAACTGTGGTAATAAATACATGTTGCCGAGACAATATATAGGATAAAAGTAATTTTCATTAAAAATAAAAATCAAATTAGTACTTTTATGATGTGTTGCTCTTGTTGACATCTTTTATATATTTTGATTAAAAAGGGGGAAGGGGCATAACAAGGAAAAAACCAGAGTTTCCTTTTATAAGTTTGAAGCGACAACTTCTGACATTTTTTTCAGAAAGCCAACTTAGAAAAAAAGTAAAAAAGGGCATAACTTTGAAAAAAATCGATTCTATAATTATCTACATTTTGAATTGTTGTCACTTAGCAAGTCTGAAGTGAAACGTTTTAACATTTTCGGAGAAAAAAGACCTTCGCTAAATGATAAATCAAGTCTAAAAATCTAAGCTGAAAAAGGGGTATAACTTTGCGAAAGTGTTTTGAATATCGTCCTTTAAACACTAAACATGTATAATACCAAGTTTGAAGTGACATTTTTGTAGTTTCTGACACACTTCATATTGTACAGCTTTTTCAACTTTCATATTAATATTTAAGTTCTGTGATCATGAACTTGCCTTTAACTCAGTTGAATATATTTACAATCCTTACCATTTCCGATATTTCCGGAGAATCAACGTAACCACAAATATGATGTTTACCACTACTGGCACAGCAAGAAAAGTTCCAAGGGACATAGCAGCTATATTTACTGACTGCAATGAGGAACTTGAGTCTAAGATATCATCGATAAACGACACAATTATCTGAGCGGCGTAGAAATAAAAGTGTTCGCTTTTCATGGAATGGCATTTACGTGCCACATTGAAGCGCCATATGAACGCATCTGCGGATGTTTCAAAATTCTGATTTTTACCATTTCAAGTTAAACGCTGAATACTGCTTAAGCCAGTCTTATGGGGCGTGGACGGTAACTTGCACTTTCCATTACCGTCCATGAACAGGCTCAATCAAACCCAGTCTGCAACAATTTCAATTTTGTCGTTTTGTGCGTTTTTAGGAATTAATCATTTCTCTCTAGTTCTCATATTCGTACTTTCATTCTGTACATAAACAAATATAATTGTTTTGCAGTACATTTAATTATTCTTATTATTAAAATCATCATCATCAACATTATTTTGATCATCATTAGCAGCGGCAACAGCAACCGCATAATCACCATCATCATCATCATTATACATTTACAGAGACATAAAATAACTTTTGCGGGGATTCATTTTATTTACACCTTCTCGTTATATAGGAACATATTGGGGCTAAGTGTGAGGTTTGTCGAGCCTAAAACCTGTTTAAACGTTAAAACGCCCCAGTGGTGTTATTACTACTGATCGTTTTAAGGCGGTACCCTCTATGTTCTTTCACGTGTGTGTTTTCTGTACTGTTAGATGTTTTGAATGTTTGCATGTTTTGTGATATCTCATCTTGTTAATTTGACATTAACGGTATTATTACCAATTACCCCTCTTAACCCTACCACTCCCCCTCATTTTTATTTTTACATCCATTGTCCTTTTATTTCCAGTATTGGCCCCTTTTACTTTTAATTATTTACTTAAGGATGTTTTTTGGAGTTTTCATATAGACATATAGGCAAAACTAAAGCTGTTCAATGTAATTTCTTTAAACTTTGCATGTTGTTAGCATATGATAACGGAAACATTTAAAACGGAAAAAAATGCATTTGCCCCTTACGATTATGTCTATAGCACTTCCGTCTGTACAATCTCCGTAATCGTGTTAACATTTGTTACCTTTACAACCTGCAGAACATTGTTGATCGCACATATTTCCATATTTCCCTGTTTTGCATTTGTCACAACTTTCCCAAGCAAAATTAGAGGAACATGCACAGTTTCCAGTCAGAATATCGCAAGTGTTTGACATACAACCAACTGAACAACTTTTGTCGCACGTCGATCCATAAAGACCCCTTTTACAAAGCAAGCAACTGTTATAGGACGAACATTGTATACAGTTATCTCGACATTTGTATGTACAGTCGTTCAACAAAGGGAGGTTAACGTTGTCGTTCTTGTAACCTTTATAATAACCCTCCTTACACGATCCACAATATGTATTTGATGAACACGTGGCACAGTTACCTGGACACAAACTATAACATATGTTACTGATATCGTAATATCCGTCCTTACATGATGCACACTGACCATTTTCGCAATTACAATTTTTAGGACACTTACGATTACTACAATTATTGTAACCATTGTCGTTATTATATTCATCCTTGCATGATGTACACGTGGTTCCCGACGTGCATGTTTTACATCCGGGTAAACACCGTGGTGTGCAGTTTCTAGCAGGGCCGGGGTAATAGCCATCATAGCACGCAGTACACTCAGCTGCATGATTTGGGCATTTTGTACAATTGTGTGTACATAGTGCATAACAGCGAGCACCTCTATGACCATCAATACAGCCTAGAAAACATTCGTCATTAAACCATTGCCCTCGTCTACAATTTCGATCTATGCAGCATGCACAATCTACTCTACATTGTTCATCAATCTCTGTATTGAGAAAAAACAAAAATATTCCATTTTATTCACATACCACCCCTTATTGCTTCCTGCATGTTTTTTCTTTAACCTTGAATTATGTATACGTTTTCAATTAACAATGATAAATATTACATTATCTCTAATAAAGACTGATGTAAATTTAGTTACCTCCTTCTACCAGGTTGTTGCTAACATTTAACCACATACACCATACAAGCAATATCTGAAATAAGCATAACATGTACTTCTTTTGTCAGCTTATTTAAACCATAAATATTCATAATTAATAACGGTATTATTTGAATTTTAACGAGTGTGGTTTTGTCACAATCCTTTAAACATTTACCAAATTTACATATTGAAGCTAACTATATTCACTTGACTTTTGATTTGATCTCTCTTCCATTCGAACAACATTTAATAATTCAATAAGTTTAATAACTTAAAATTTTTCTCCACTTAACATACGATATATATATATATTTTATTTTAGTTTAAACCTTATTTTATGTATCAAACTTTTTATAGAATCATTTTATTTAATCTAATCTCCATTTTGCTTACAAGACCTAAACAGTAATGGTGTAGACTGTGCAAAAATAATTATGACACAAGTAAGGTTTGTACCTACGACTCGTTGGTTGAGAGGCAATCACCTTAACAACAAAGAATCCGTCTCACACTGTAGTTTAGATGTCTTTAATCTTGGTGTTTATCATTGTATTATCGAATTGTGAATTTGTAATAAAGGCTCATAACAAATATGAAAGATCTGTCCATTGAAAATATAATATTGTAATGAAACCTGTGTTTAGGGATACTATTTTACATTATTAATAATTTCTTTGAAATTTCTTGAGTTTTGATATCAGTATATCACTTTTACAAATGAAGGCATAACTTTAAGAAAACAATAATTTAAACTTGTATATCATTCGTATGAATGAAATGAAATTCACAATTCTGATCAAGGATAATATGTATGATAATATATTGAATAAATAAATGCACATTGAATGAATAAAAAGCTATCAAATTTTTGATTTTATGAAGGGATATATGTGATAGGCGATGTTATACAATGTACATTTCCACAGGAATTTCCAAGGAATATTTTATCCATTGTCATTGAAAATAAAATGAGAGCATGATGCACCCATACAAGATAAAGAATATCATCATATGCCTTAAATAATTATTTTTATTGTGTCTACATTAAAAATGATAAATATTTTTCTTTTGACTTTAGCTGACTTTCTTAAGACCTCTTTTCTTAAAATATCATTCGATCACCTCTATGCATTTGTAGCTTTATGCACATCTGCGGATGATCCTTAATTCAAACTTTTATCATTTCGTGTTTAAATGTTGTGGTGCTAGGGGCGTGGTCGGTATCTTTCACTTTCCACTTCTGTCTAAAAACTGACGCAATCAAGCCGAGCCTGCAACAGTTTCATATCGTTTCAAAGCAGTCTATATTTAACCCACGCTTCAATTTTTTGAAGATACCAAGTTTTGAAATGAACGCATAAGAGACCTATATGAATTTCAAGCATTTATGTTATTGCATACCATTTCTTTCTGGTGTTAATCAGTAGAAGTAAATATTCATTTAATAAATAAATACATGCATATGTAAGTACTATCCAATCGTACCTTTCTTTCACACAACATTATTCACCACATATCACACGTTTGTTAACGAAATCATAACGAATTAGCTATCTCACAGAAAAACACAAAACTTGGTAGTTGTCAGTGCCGAATGAAAACATACGGCATCACCATCTCTCACACGTGCCCATGATTTATCTATATTGTCGAGAACGGATTCAAAGTAATTAAAATAAAATATTGTTTTATTCTGGTTGCGATAATTATTTTACAGGAAGAGCCTTAATATCCATTTTATGTAACTATGCTGAGTGCTAAGCAACTGGAATATTAACGTGGTTATTTGATTGGCTGGATGAAATTCACGTGATGAGAAAAAAATGCGCTTGTTTTATTTTACACATCACAGGAAAGAGTACGTTGTTATCTTTATGAAATTATGATATTTAGGGACTTGTTGTTAACGTTGTCAAAATAGCGGAAAACAAATTTGATGTTTAAGACCGGTAACAATATGCAAAATTATTCTTGCATAAATTAAACCGCGGTATATACAAGTGCGAAACAAGTAGGGAAATCACTCACATAACTCCAAGCGGCTTTGATTTCAATGATATTTATATATATAATTAAAAAATAATGAACAATGAGAAAATTGCATGATGTTGAAATCTTCTATCTCACATAGCAATATGCTGCAATTATTTTTAATTGGCCAGAACAAAAATGCAATTTTTTCATGTAAGATTTATTTGTTATTTTAGCAGTAAAAGTAATTTATTGTATATCTGTAATATATATGTATTTTAAACAACCTGTGTATTGAATCTTTAAAAAATGTTTGAAAAATACTATTCCGCTGATTATGAAAATATTATTATCAAAAAGATACATATATTTTATATCATTATCCCAAAGTGACATTATGCCCACCCAAGTGTATAAATAAGTGAACAGGTGGAAGTCAAAATAAGTTTTCATTTTGACATAATTTCTTTCAATTTAAACAATTATTTCACATTAACAATGGACCCAAACATTTTTTCGTAAATATCCATTAGAATTTACCTATAACGTTCAGTTCATAAAAAGAGTGGGACAGTCTTTTTATATTTTAATTTTATCAAAAACATTTTCCAATATGAACTGTTGGTCAATCAACATTTTAACAGTCAATATTTTGAAATATATAGTCAGTTAAGCTCATTTTGAAAATATCAGAGTTGTCTTAGTTAAATATATTTAATATTTAGCAGACACAACTTCGTAGTGAAATATTTGCTATGTGACAACATAATAAAAGACAATATTTGGCACATATATAATAGTTTTAAGAGTTTTAAGAGTAAAAGATGAAGAGAGATTATGAGAATGAGATATCATGAATGGAAGCTCAGGTAAAACATAGTGTCACAGTTCTTCTTCGATGTCGAATTGGACACACTAAAATTACCCACTCTTATCTCCTCACAATTGACAATGCCCCTTTCTGTGTAGCTTGTAATGAAAATTTTACTGATAAGCATTTTCTTCTTGAATGTCATGATTTTTCACAGGCTCTTAATAGAATTTATTGTGTAAATTCACTCAAAGAACTCTTTAATACAATTCCATAAAAACATCATTGATTATTTGAAAGCGTTAATTTATTCTACGGTCTAATTGACTCATTTTTATTGTCATTTACAAAGTTTTACATAACACATTATAGCATTCAGCACGATATGGCCAGTTATGTGTTGACGTGTCGTAAAACTCCAAACAAACAAACAATCAACAGGCAAATCTGGCCCTAGCACCTTTAGATATGGTACTTCGGTCACATTTGTAAGATCGTTTTCATTTATCATTGTTGAGGTTGGATCGAGTGTATCACAGGGTCAAGGTGTTACAACTCAACAAATCAACAACAGACCACCTTGGATCAGATTTAAATTTGCTCAAGAGTTTACAGACCCATTCTAGAGGATTTAATTTTTGTTTTGTTTGTTTGTTTGTTTGTTTCATTTTCCCAACAATATGTCAGCCATATAGGCGGGTAGTTTCCTAACCATCGTTCCTTGAGCAAGAGGATTTAAAGTATATATTACTTGATAGCTAATTTTAATAACAAAATGAGAGATGAAAGACTTGTGATAATAAGAAACTTAATTAAGATTAAACTTAAATTCTGATTACTTTTTATATACATTTGTACAATTAAATTATGATCAAATAAGAAAGATTTATTTTTGAATTGTACAAAAATAAATAGGATGATTCCTTGTATTAGAGATACATCTGGAGAGACAGTGATTATTTGATTAACAATAAAAGTAAATCAGGAGAAATTGCAACCTCATAATCTGAAGTTATATGCTTATAGCGTTTAGTTGAACTAAACGAAATATCCTTTTCTGCAAAAAACAGGTTGACATGGTGAAAATTCTATACACCGATGACTGTTAGTATCGTTTTCATGAATGCAGGGTACAATTATCACATTTTGCAATGCTAACATCAATAAACAAAGTTCTTGTTTTTAGATAAATAATATGTTAATATTATTATTATATAAAACTATCGCGGTTCGAGATTTCCGTACGACGTAACTTACCAACCGTGGTGATAGAGGTTACGACTTACCGATACCATGAATTCTGGTTTTAAAACTATTTATCAACTGTGAACAAAGATGGAATAGACTTGAAATAAGCTAAAGAAACAAACACATTGTCAAGACAACAATACTTGAAATAGTTCAGTTTCTATAAATACCTTCAAACAGCTGTTCTTTTAAATAAGACCTATGTAAACAATAGCCCTATGAAAACATTACATTTACGGCAGAAATAAGTATGCTGAATTCAGTCCAAACTTATGATGTAATAAAGATATATGAAAAGTTAGATTTATTGTTTTAAATGTATCTACGTACCAATTTTAATCTCAGCTTCATTGTTCCAAATAAAGGAATAGGTATTATCTATAAAAAAAATCCAAACACCGATGTACGTAAACTCGTCTTCAATGTAGCAATCCTTTTGACCTCAATCGTTGAAACAAAAAAAAAACTTAGTTTAACAAGCAGGAAGTTTAAAGATCTGTTCAAGTGTGCGGGTTATATAATAAGAGGGTCAAGAAGCACTTCCGTCATTATTTATTATCATATCTTAACGGTTGAACAATTATATTACTTAAAGTGTATAAAACCATTTTTAATTTTGAGAAAAAAACTTATATTCTTTTTATCTCATAAACCCATTTCCCGATATACACGCCTTCAATGCCTTGTTGTCTTAAATGGTGAAAAAATGCCTTATTTAGCCCCCCCAACACTTGTTTTTTAAGAAAGGTTCTTAAAAAAGTGACCAGTTTTTCAGCGCACCCCTATCCAAAAGATACATCAGGGGGTTGCCAGAAGGGGGCTGTGCCCCTTCTGTTTGGGGTGGGGGGTTTGAAGGAGGCGGTAGTCCTCCTCATCGCCAAGAAAATTTTGGACTTGTGAGAGGCTAAAATGATCCCAGGTCGATCATAAGGTAATGTATAACTAACGCTGAAAAGCCTTTGACTCTATCTCAATCCATTGAGAAGTTGTAGCACTTTGAAATCAATTTTGATGGAAAAAATCAACTCAAAATAGTGATTTTTGGCATTTTTGAGATGTCCCCTCGATGTCATAGTACCAGAAATTCAAGACTGAGGCAATTGTCAAGTCAACAATTCTGCCAAGTTTGAATAGTATTGAAGCAGTTTTAATAGTTTTATAAAATTTGAACTTGTAACGAGAGACTTTTCAATGAAAACAGCCATTTTTCACAAAATGCTCATGAATTATTGGTTAAGAGGAAATGGCACATGCAAGAAATATTTGAAACCCTTACAGAAGGAACAACATATTTTGTTAATAAAAATATTGAGAACCCTTTACACTTGGAGTATACTGTAATGACATGGTAGTTTTATTTATGCCACTGGCGAGCACTGCAAAAATATATATATATATATATGATCGATATACGGAAGTGTACGGAATTCCGTATACATATATCAATAATATGTGTGTGTGTGGGGGGGGGGGGGTAAAATGCCAGACTGGACAATATATGAGCTCGTATATGACTAATTTTTGATGATTTTAGAGTACGGGACAAAACGAGGCTTTATAATAATCCGTATATTACTTAAAACGAAATTCAATATTCCTGCAAATGCGGATTCTGAATATAGAAATAGAGAATTACATATTTAATATTTATTTACATAAACAGGTTTTTCATATCAATTGTAACATAACTAATAGCTTTTGGAATTGAATAGAATTCCATTGTTGTGTTATAAAATGTATAAAATGATAAATATTTACCATTTGGATATTCTTAAAATATAAGTCTCGAAAATTAATGTTGAAGACTTTCTAAAGTCTATATTACGGACATTTGCATGATGAATCATAACATATTGTTCTTTGAACATTTTATAACCTGCTTAGTATTGGGAGAATCGGATTATATGACAACACCAATTGTAAGAATCGTTTATTACCGATTCCAATTAAAATATGTAATACATTTCAATACGTTATGCGTTGTTTGGCGCCAACTTATTTATCGTTACGCGCTTAACAGTTTAGCGCGTCATTTTGACGTAATTGTTTGTTATGAATTAAAAAGGTAACTTCCGTTATATGTAGCGGTATATAAACAATTGCCTATTTCTACGCAATCTGCAGCTACTGCCAATGATATTAGAAATATACCATATCTAAGTGACTTTAATATTCCGAACGTGAACGTTAATGAAGTCATGTTACTAATTGGCACGGATACACCGGTAGCATATATCCCACTAGAGATACGAACAGGAAGTAGTTATGAGCCATATGCAGTGAGAACGCAACTTGGCTGGGCAGTTCGAGAAACAATACCATGCAATGATTCAAAACATAATAAAACAGACAACAGAAGAACCCCAATTAACATTCATTTCGGTCAGTCAAGTGACGCCATACTACAACAACAACTTGAACGTATGTGGACGTCAGACTTCAATGACGCATCCTATAATGAGAAAAATTCAATGTCAGTTGAAGATAAGAGAGCACTTGGAATTATGGAATCTACACTTTCGCATGTTAATGGACACTATGAGATGGGATTACCATGGCGACAGGATGACACAAAATTGCCGAATAATTTAGCGCTTGCGCATGCGCGATTGAATCACCTTAAAAGAAAACTTTCTCGTGACGACGTGTTACATGAGATGTATACAAAAACAATGACAGACTATATTGATAAAGAATTCGCAAAAGAAGTGACAAATAAAGATACGAACTCTGAACAGATATGGTATTAAACCCACCATCCTGTAGCAAACGTGAATAAGCCCGGAGAAGAACTGCCATTGACAATGCAGAGAGATTTGAACCTGCAGTATTATCAACTGTAAAGAAACTTTTACGTAGACGACTCTCTGAAGTCTGTAGAATCTGAAGATAAAGCTATTAAACTTGTAGCAGATTTACAGTCCCTGATGAGCTTAGGTGGCTTCAGACTCACAAAGTGGATAAGCAACAGTCTGAGGGTACTTAATTCGATTCCGGAATCTGAACGTGCGCCGACGGTTGTTAGCCTCAGCCCTGGAGATGTACTGCCTTGTGATCGTGCGCTAGGCGTCAATTGGAATGTCAATGACGATAAGACAACATTTAAGATTAAAATAAGCAAAAAACCCTTAACAAGACGCGGAATTCTTTCCATAGATAGTGCGATCTTTGATCCACTAGGACTTGTATCACATGTGACGTTGCGTGCTAAGGCAATTGTACAGAGCCTATGTAGGAAGAAGATAGGGTGGGATGAAACTTTTCCACAGAAAGAAATAGAAGATTGGCAACAGTGGATAGCAAATCTACCATCGTTAGAAAAAAAGAGTGTTGACCGTTGTTTCCGTCCAAATCACTTCAGTAAATTGAAGGACGTACAGCTGCACGTGTTCAGCGATGGCTCAGAGACAGGTTATGACGCATGCGCATACTTACGATTGACGGATACACAGAATAGAATTTCATGCAGTTTTGTTATTGGTAAATCTAGACTAGCACCAATAACGCAAACAACCATTCCAGGATTAGAGCTTTGCAGAGCTGTAGTGGCATGCCGCCTTTATGCTATGTTGTCAGAAGAACTTGACTTAAATGTCGACCAAGTTACATTCTGGACTGATTCTATGATATTACTTGGATATATAAACAACAATAACAGACGATTTAAGACATTTGTCGGAAATAGAATCAGCTACATTCACCAGACTACATCCCCTGAGAAGTGGAGTTATGTCGATTCCGGTTCGAACCCAGCTGATATTGCTTCGAGGGGCATCCATCCAAATGACCTTCATGGTCTTAAAATATGGCTAGAGGGACCAAAATACTTATTACAATACGAATCGACTTGGCCTAAACTACCACATAAGCTACAAATTGCAGATGATGATTCCGAAGTTAAGAGAGGGTTAATTTTTAAACCACCGCATCGTATACAGGACCTCATATAGAAGACCTCATTAACTATTTTTCCGATTGGACACTGTTGCTTAGAGCAGTTGCTTGGTTACTGAAATTCATAACATATTGCAGACGGCATCACTTGACTTTGAATGAACAACCAAAACGAGGAAGTCTTACCGTTTCCGAGATAAAGAACGCAACTTACGCTATATTACGACAAATACAGAACTCAAGGTTTAAACAGGAACTGAACGAAATTAACAAAGGTTATCCTGTAAAGAGAGACAGTAGATTAGCTACATTAAACCCCATACTTGTTAATGGACTAATCCGTGTATATGGAAGAAATACCCATAAAGGACATGATACGTGTCCGATTATCTTTCCGCACTATATTTACGTGACAGAATTGATTATTCGTCATTACCATAATTCAAACGGACATGTTGGTAAACAACAGGTACTTGCTGAAACACGGACTAAATACTTGATATTAAAAGGACCCAGTATTATAAAGAAAGTTATCAGAGATTTTTTTATATGTAAGCGACAACACGGTCTCCCTCTAAGGCAACAGATGGTGCCCTTGATCAAAGAACAGACAACCCCCGATAAACCCCCATTCACCTACGTCGGTGTAGACTACTTCGGCCCTTTGATAGTAAAATCAGGTAGAGCTTGTTTAAAAAGATACGGATGTCTCTTTTGCTGTCTAACTACAAGAGCAGTCCACATCGAAATAGCACACAGTCTTACAACTGATTCTTTCATAGCTGCTTAAAAAGCTCAATAAAACAATGGAACCAGTCTAAAATCGGACAACTTCTTGTGCAACATGATGTACACTGGCACTTTAACCCACCCTATGCCAGTCACATGGGCGGGTCATGGGAACGCTTGATAAGGTCAACGCGTACTATTCTCAAAGCTGTTGTGAGAGAACAACTCCTTACAGACGAAAGTTATTGACCCTGATTGCCGAAACTGAACAAATAATCAACGATAGACCCATAACTAATGTAAGCAGTGATCCGAGGGACCCACCAGCACTCACGCCAAACATGCTTCTTTTAATGAAGTAAAATCCTTGTATACAAGTCGGCATTTTTAAAAAGGAAGACATCTATAGCAAGAGATGATGGAGACAAATCCAATATTTAGCGGACATATTTTGGAAAAGATGGGTAAAAGAGTATTTACCAACCCTACAAGCAAGGCAGAAATGGCAAAGGGAGACTAGAGATGTACATGTAGATGACATTGTACTTGTGGTAGACAATAGTGTTCCTAGAGGACAGTGGCCACTAGGCAGAGTAACCGAAGTCATTAAGGGTAGGGATGGGCATATTCGTAAATGTAAAGTTCAAACTAGGGACTCAGCTATGATAAGGCCAATCACAAAGTTGTGCCTTTTAGAATGTTCAGACTAATTATTGTATTACGCTGAAAATATTTCACATGATTACGTTAATGTTTAAAAGGATACATACTGTGTATTAAATAGACTGTTTTAACTTTAGCAAGTACTTTAATATAATGCGTGA